TGCCTCCCAAGTGCTGGGAGGCAGAGGCAGGCGGATTTCTGAGTTCAAGGCCAGCCTGGTCTACAGAGTGAGTTCCAGGACAGCCAGGGCTACACAGAGAAACCCTGTCTCGAAAAGCCAAACCAAAAAAAAAAAAAAAAAAAGAAAGAAAGACATAGCAAAAAAACAAAACAAAAAAAAAAAAAAAAAGAAAGAAAGAAAGAAAATAATCTCAACTGTCTATCAAACATTTCAGGAAAGAAACAACTGTTAGTTTTTCGCAGGGACCTGACATCAAGAAAAACCATGAAGCACACTATGGACTATGCTGTGGTCATCCAGAAATTCTAGAAAGGACTATGGCTGTGACAATCTAGAGACTCTAGGATGAACTATGCCATGACCATTCAGAGGCTCTAGAATGGACTGTGCTGTGGTCATCCAGAGGCTCTAGAATGGTCTGTGCTGTGGTCATCCAGAAGCTCTAGAATGGACTGTGCTGTGATTATCCAGAGGCTCTAGAATGGACTGTGCTGTGGTCATCCAGAAGCTCTAGAACGGACTGTGCTGTGATTATCCAGAGGCTCTAGAATGGACTATGCCGTGGTCATCCAGAGGCTCTAGAATGGACTGTGCTGTACTGTGGTCATCTAGAGGCTCTAGAAGGCACTGTGTTTCTCTGGTGCTAGGCTACCCACAACCCTGTGGGGATCAAAACATGTAGGCTAGCTCATAAAGGATGTCCACTCAGCAAAAGGGACTGTGGGAAGGACTGTAAAATCCAGCCACTTCAGCTATAGAACATCATGGCCCCTGCAAAGACGCCTTCCACAGAGCCCTCTGTTTGGGGTCTTTTATCGTTTTATTTTCTAAAGATTTATGTACTGTTGTTTTGTGTAAGCGTTTTGCCTGGGCATACATAGGCACTGTGTACATGTACGTTGCTGATAGAGGCCAGAAGAGGGCATCAGACGCCCTGGCACTGAAGTTACAGATGGTTGTCAGCCACCGTGCTGGTGCTGGAATAGAGCCAGGTCCTCTGTAAAAACAGCAAGTGCTCTCAGTGCTAGGCCATCTTTCCAGTCTCCAGCACAGCCATTCCTAACAGCCTGGGAATGTTTTTCACAGATGTGGAGGGAGATGTAAAGAACCATAGATGCTGGGCAGTATAAGCGGTTAGCTTTCTAAATTTTTACTCTTGGATGCTAACTTTGGCCTCTCTGGGTTCCAGGGTCCTTGAATCTTTAAAGCCAAGAAATGTTTGGTTTGGTTTGGTTGGTTGGGGCTTTGTTTTGTTTTGTTGTTTTGTTTTATTTTGTTTTTCAAGACAGGGTTTCTCCTCATAGTCCTGACTGTCCTGGAGGTCTCTCTGTAGACCAGGGTGGCCTTGAACTCACAGATCCACCTGCTTCTGTCTCCTGAATGAAGGGATTAAATATGTGTGCCATCACTGTCTGTCTGAAATTTTTGATTTTTTCAAAGACTTAAAGAGATCTTTCACTAAGCATAGTGGTACATGCCTTAATCTCAGTGCTTGGGAGGCAGATTCAGGTGGATCTTTTTATGTTTAAGGCTAGCCTGGTCTACATCCTCATTGTAAGGTGGAAGGAAAGGGGGAGGGGTGAAGGAGGGAGGAAGGGCTGAAAGGAGGGGGAGAGATCTTGAATGTGATGGTGCCCAACACAGACTATGGCGTATGGCAGCCATTCAGGTCAAATCTGTTTACTCATTCCTTCCCAGACACCATGATTTTATAAGATCTCCAGCACAAATCAGCGCGTGAGCTTGCCTGAGACACACGTAGGTGACAACAATCAAGTCGTATAGAAATGTTTTATAGTAAAGAAATTTCACCTCGAGGGTGGTGGCACACGCTTTTGTGTCCTCTACTTGGGAGGTGGAAGTAGGAATGTATCCGGGTTCAAGGTCAGCCAGACTCAGCTACATGAAACGTATCCATTAAAAACAAAGCAAAATGAAATTCCATTCCTTCTTTTATTGGAAGAAAGGAACCAGGTAGGAAAGGGAGCAGAGTTTAGCGTACCTGAATACACCTGTATAAAAAATTACTTTAATTAAGTTAATTTTTAAAATTTTAATCAAATGCAATGACTAGTCCTGGATTATACTAGTAAAAAAAAAAAAATCTCTAAAGTCATTAGTCAAAAAACAATGGACGTTATCAGCATAATTTTCTGACTTCAACAATTTTACTGTGTAATATAAGAGAAATGATTTATTTTGGGAAAATCATTGTAGAAATTTTACAGGAAAATAAATTATGTCTATGACTTATTCATAAAAAAAAAATTATCAATGGGCTCCAATGAGCGCTTGTAAATGAACTGGTGAGCTTCACGCTACATTTTCCACTAGATGGAGCTGCGTGTTTAAAAAACTTACACTCGGTTTACTCTCCCACCCTTTCACCCCTCACACCTTCAATGCAACCCCCTCCTCAGATGGTCTCACAGCACTCCTCTCCCGCTTCGCGGTAATCCTCCTGCCTCAGCCTCGCTAGATGCAAGAATTACAAGCCGCAACGCACGGCCAAAATTCTAAAGTCTGAAGTAAGAAAACTAAACGTCCTCTTTAAAGGTGGTGAGAAAAATCGATGTGCCCTTCAAAACTAGGGGAAGGAGGGGAGGTTGTTACTAATCCTTCCTAAAGCCCCCTGACCCAAGACAACACTTAAGGGGCTTCCCTAGGACCGCCCGCAGCACACAGAATGGCCACGGTCTATCAGTCACAACTAATCTTCATATTTAGACTTTTTTATCCCCACGACGTTGTTTCCGGTGAGCAAGCTCAAACACTACAGCGGAAGCAGTCTGGGGTGTTTTGTTTTGTTTGAGGCACGATTCACTACGGAAAGCAGGCTGGCCTCGAACTCACGGATGTCCCCCAGCCTCGGCCTCCCCCGCGCGGGGGCCTACGGCGTGGGAGCTGCGGGTCTGCGCGCGCAGCCGCCCCCACCCAGCCGAAGGAAGGCCCGGTGGCCCGCGCGGGCCGCACTCACCA